GCTGCAAATCCATTTATTTCTTGAACCCACAAACCTCCATACTCGAAACGATCTGTCCTTGTCGGTATACGGGAAAGGGAAAGAATTCTAAAGCAAAGGAAGCTAAAAATTAAACATAAACATTGAATTTCATGTTATTCTACGTACCAAAAAACGACAATAAGCTACTCACCCCGAACGGAAATCGTTTCGGATTGATCAGATCATCTAATACATTGTCCACCTCGCGAATCACTGGTGTAGTAGTTGGCTAAATTAGTACTATAGGCTTGTGCGGGGGGGAGCACTTTCAAACCCAACGTTTTGAATGATTGTAATGATTTGAATTCCAAATGTGAGCAACGACATCATGCTGAGTGCAACAAGTTGGGAAATCATCGAAAAGATGTATCCAAAAAGTGTTGAAACGACTACCAATTGATTCAGCCCATTTGATTTCCCTAGAAGAAAGAAATCAAATGGGCTGAATCGATCGGTAACCGTTTCAACACCTTTTGGATACATCTATTGGATGATTTGCCAACTAATTGCACTCCCACCACCCAGCTTTATCTCGTTGCTCACATTTGGAAATCAAATAGAAATAGAAATTTAAATTGAAACATGCTGGGAATACGCTTAACATAGTATGCACTAGCTTAGCAGGCTTAGATTTTTTTCAGAATAAAGAAGAAATACAATCATTTAAAATATTGGGTTTGAAAGTGTCCCCCCCCACAAGCCTATAGTACTAATTTAGCCAACTACTACACCAGCGATTCGCGATGGAGACAATGTATTAGATGATCTGATCAACCCGAAAGGAGATCCGTGTTCCAAGGTTAAAAACGCATAAAAATATACCAATTTCGTCGTCTGATTACCGTCTTTTCTGGCGTTGACGAAAAGTCCTGCTCGAAACGACAAGAGAGTTGCTAACTAAAACAAAGAAAAATTTAAAAAGATAATGAAGTTTATTTTACAAAAAAACAACATTAAAAAGTACCAATACAAAAAGAGAGTAGAGGCGCTGAACGGGCATCATGATAAAATGATTTTTAAAAAATTTTTGATTTGTGAAATTTAAACAAATGTAAATTTTGAATGCAAACGTCTCAATCAACTATAAGAATTCTTTAGCTTTCAATGCTTCTAAAAATAAACTTTTCTTCGTTGTAGTCAAAAGAAAAGGGATAATAGCGGAAACACATAAAAAGGCATTCATAAGAAATTTGCGACCTCTTTATGCAGGTCTTCGAATCTTCGAGTCCAAGTCTTCGAATAAGTTTTAAAAAGGTTTGCCCAACCAGTTATGAAAACCTGATGAAAACTACCGTAAATACTGTAATACACTGTGGTGCAAAAGTCCTGTCCCACTTACTTTTCTGATACATTTTGTCAAAATTCTAAAATTTTTCGAAAACAACTTTTTGAGTAAAGGGGTTTTTCTGAACCCTAAGTTGTAAGCTTTCATATAAATAAGTTTTTAGGTTTTAAAAATTTATTACCTGAAAGAAAATAACAAATAAAGTTTAACATCAAAAAATATATGGTGCAAAAGTCTTGTCCCACCATTAAAAAAGGAAAGCTAGATTAATATTCGGTCGGTCCTCCTTTAGCCAAAATCACTGCTTGAATACGTTGAGGCATTGAGTCGACCAAATCACGTAGAATTCCCGAAGAAATTTGTCGCCAAACGTTTCTGATAAAGAACCAAAGCTCGACCTTTGTGTTGAATATCTTACCCTTGAGTTTAGTCTTTAAATGGGCCCAAAGATGCTCTATAACATTCAAATCCGGCGAATAAGGAGGCACTTTGATTAATTTTACACGATAAGCAACAAAAACGCCGGGTAGGCGAGCTCTTCCTCCATTTGTAAGTCGGACAACTCGGCCCATCATTAGCTGGCTTTTGTTGCATGAAGTGTTGTCTTGATATAAGGCCCATCCTTGTGGCATGTTCGTGTTTTCAAATGGAATTAAGTTGTTTTCTATGATTGACTTGTACCTTTGAGCATCGAGATTTCCATTGATAAACACTAGCGGTCCCGATACACTTCGATTCATCGAGCCTAAAAAAGACAAATCGTAAGTGAAAGATAGAGCGAACACTTACCCCACAACATAATGCTCCCACCACCGAATTTGACCGTTGGCTTAACGTATTTGAGCTTATACCGTTGTCCAATTGGTCTTCTGATTAAATGATTACCGTCCGGGTAGTATAAATTAATTCTAGTCGATATAGACGAGCGGCCTCGAATAGAAGACGGGGTCTAGGGGGTGATTGAAAAAAATACAAGGCCGGTCTTCTATTCGAGTAAATACGGTAAATGGATTTGCAGCTTGTTGCTTGTCTGAGTTAAGTTTTTAGCGTAAAATACGTTTATGCAGTAGTACTATAACAATTAGCAATGCCTTTACTTCTGCTAAATTACAAAATTTTATAATTTTGCGTTTTAGGTATATCCATCATGGTTTCCATGATGGATGGTTTGATTTCTTTTCTTTTTTTTTGTTTCCATTTCATGGTTTGATTTCTCTAAAAGAAAGAAAATTGCCCGTACAGTCATTCGAAATGTTTCTACTTTTCGACCCATCGATTCATCCTATTTGATTTCTTTAAAAGAAAGAAAATTGCCAGTACAATCATTCGAAATGTTTCTAATGATTGTGCTGGCAATTTTCTTTCTTCTAGGGAAATCAAATGGGCTGAATCGATTGGTAACCGTTTCAACACCTTTTGGATACATCTATTCAATGATTTGCCAACTTTTTGCACTCAGCATTATCTCGTTGTTCACATTTGGAAATCAGATAGAAATAGAAATAGAAATAGAAATAGAAATAGAAATTCAAACAGGCTGGGAATACTCTTAATATAGTATGCACTAGCTTAGCACGCTTAGATTTTTTCAGAGTAAAGGAAAAATATAATCATTTAAAACATTGGGTTTGAAAGTGCCCCCTGCACTGAAAGTGCTAAATTAGTATTATAGGCTTTTGCGGGGGGGGGGGCCCGCAAAAGCCTATAATACTAATTTAGCCAACTACTACGCCAGCGATTCGCAATGGAGACAATGTATTAGATGATCTGATCAATCCGAAAGGATTTCCGTTCGGGGTGGGTAGCTTATTGTCGTTTTTTGGTACGTAGAATTATTTGAAATTCAATGTTTATGGTGAATTTTTAGGAGGTGTGGCCTGATGAAAAACCTGATTGGCCCGACATCACATCGATCACATCGTTTCGATTATGGAGGTTTGTCGGTTCAAGAAATAAATAGATTTCCAGCTTGTTACTTGTTTGAGTTAAGTTTTTAGCGTAAAATAAACTTATGCAGTAGTACTATAACAATTAGCAATGCCTTTACTTCAGCTAAATTACAAAATTTTATAATTTTGCGTTTTAGGTATAACCATCATGGTTTCCAAGGCGCCGAAGTGGCTGAATGTAGCGAGAATGGCATTCCAAGGAAGGTTAATATAAACTTTGTATAAACAATAAAGGTCTCTTTAGGTAGAACACATCTATTACTGGCCTGGCGATCATATTTCTTTCACGTGCAAAGTTTGTCAACGGTTCGTTTCGTCCATAGGGTCTAAATAAAATGTTCTGTTCGAATTTTAGAGGTATCGATTCAAATGGGAAGATCAAAACGTGGGGTTGGGCCGCAAATATATACGACTTTTTCGATCATTACCAGAAGAATAAGGTACAATTCTTTTCGATTTTCTGCTATTGTTGCCACATTTAGAAGTTGCAACCCGCGGATGTTGGCGTGCAATTTTTACCACTCAAGTCCGAGATCAATACAAGATCGAAAGAATTCGATGGATCAGGGAATTCTGATCCGTCTTACATGCCCGGAAATCGGTGCGTTGTTTTTATTAGAGAAATAAGGTACTTATTGTCTTGTTTCTTTAGAATTGTACCCACAAGGCACGGATTTTTGCCCCATATCCGACGACAAAAGTTGGAACCGATTGGCAATACGTTACACATTCATAATGTAAGTTTATGGATGGTTTAGATGTAAGTTTATCTGATTTTTTTAGACTGAAGCAAGGGCGGCTGGTGTGTATTTTTGCTATGATGACACCGCGATCAATTTGGTATACTTTCACAGCGGCAATGAAATTTTTACCCATGTTTAGGTCCGCTATTTCTATATTCTCCACGCAATGGCGCCGATCAATCAAGTGAAAAGAATTCGTTAGCTTTCAATGCTTCTAAAAATAAGCTTTTCTTCGTTGTAGTCAAAAGAAAGCGGATAATAGCGGAAACACATAAAAAGGCATTCAGAAGAAATTTGCGGGCTCTTTATGCAGGTCTTCGAATCTTCTAGTCCAAGTCTTCGAATAAGTTTTAAAAAAGGTTTGCCCAACCAGTTATGAAAACCTGATGAAAACTACCGTAAATACTGTAATAGTACTCCATCCCCATAATGACGGTGCGGAGTGTTCCGTGGTCTAGCTTTGGTTTTTAGCGGCACTGGTTTATGCTACAATTGCCCGCTTAGGTATCAAAAAATAGCTGAAATTCAAGGCTATTTTTTGATAACCAAAATTCCGTTTTACTCATGTATCTCTTTCAATATTCCCTTTCACTTCCAAAATCGTCTCTATTTTCTTTCGCACCTCTATTCGTTTCTCTTTTCGAATTGACACAGCCGACCCCAGTTATGGAATTTTCCAAGAAACTTTTGACTCTATTGACATAAATGGTCGTTTTCTTTCTCTTCTTTGAACTGAAATTCACACTGTTCAATGGAACGAGAGTCATTGATTGATGAGAAAACTAGAGTTTTGTTTTTAAATGCTTTTGCAGTTAACACCATGTAAAGCACTTTGTACTCAAACAGTATCTCTTGATTTCTGGAACACTAAAATCAACATTGCTTTTATCCCTTTGCAATTTTTCACAGAGAACCTTGCCATTTTCTTTCCCAAAACCGAACTCATCTTTGAATGCTTTGAGAGAAACATTAATATACAGTAATCATTTTAAATACAGTTTAAGGACATTGCTTTGTTTCGATCACATAGGTGCCAACAATATCCGAATACGATCCATTACTTCCCGCATTTTCACCCGAGTGTGTGTACCTAAAAGACATTTTTTTAAACAGCTCCATTATCTCTTATTTTATCGCAATTCCAAAAGAAAGCTCGTAAATTAAAGTTAAAATAATCTCAGAATTCTCACTTAAAACAAGCCCTCCACTCGTTGTTCAATGTGAATTTCTTTCGGTTGAATTGTTCTCCCGGGATGTCCAACGACGGAAAGATTACCTAACGAAAAATTGAGACAAAGGCTTGAGTCGAACTTATGAACAGGCTATTCAAGTAGGTGAAACAAACCTGTTCATAAAACTCGTCAATCTTTTGAACACTCTTCGATCTTTCTCTTGTCCCACAATCGGTCTTCACTGGTTGATCCATGATCATCGTCATCAAAGTTGAACTAAAACGCAATTGACTTCTTTTATGTATGAATTTTCGCAAACAACTCTTACCTGTGCAATCTCACAAATGTCGTATTCTTTCTTCCAGAAAGCCTGAAAATGCTATCCAATCGAGACATCCACCTAAACTACTTTTTTAAAGCCACCTTATAACTCAGTAAAAAGTACCTCGTTGCTTCGGTACTAGTATTTCCCGCGTTCGTTTTGTTTTTACCATCGACGAGCTGCAAAACACAGTGTCCTAAATGATTTTAAACTTTTAAAATTCATCGAAACACCCCCACCCTCTCGGCGTTGATGTGTTCTTCCCGAATCGCATCTACTCCATGGCTCCCATCGAAAAGCCAACGCCACATCCGTGTAGAATGGTCTCTAAAACGTAAATATTAACTCTAAAAATGTGAAATTGAAGGCATTTCATTAGCTATTTTCATTGAAATTTGAACAAAAAAACTAGCATCATTGATCGATCGTTTAAAAACATGCAGATGTATCGCAGTCTCCGGCACTTTTCGTATTGCTAGGCCACTGGTGTTGGGGTGAAGTTTCTAAAGTTACCTTGAATGCGCTGAAAAGAAATGGATTACCAGATATTGTTCGCATTTAAGATCACCCTTATCACAGATAGGCTCATTTTCGGGATAAGATGATGGGACGCCAGTTGAATCTCCATTGAGTATCCGGGTACATCTAAATGTTAATTAGTAATATCCAGTGTCGCTGAATGGAAAAACTGGCACTTACTTCGATAAAATTTACTTTAATATCCTTAATCACTCACATAAATCGGTTTCCCGCAGCCATTGGGACACTGATGTGGAGAATTTAATAAACCCTTTTTGTCCGGCAATTCACAGACCATTTTGCCTGAAATGTGCAAGTTTAGAAAGAATTGTTAAAACTGACCCATATCCGGACTCAGCTGAAGACGATTCTTTAAATTAGCATCATCCATCCAATTCACTCGATTGATCGGCGTCATTGCGTGGAGAATATAGAAATAGCGGACCTAGACATGGGTAAAAATTTCATTGCCGCTGTGAAAGTATACCAAATGGATCGCGGTGTCCTCGTAGCAAAAATATACACCAGCCGCCCTTACTTCAGCCTAAAAAAATCAGACAAACTTACATCTAAACCATACATAAACTTACATTATGAATGTGTAACGTATTGCCAATCGGTTCCAACTTTTGTCGTCGGATATGGGGGAAAGATCCGTGCTTTGTGGCCTGAATTCTAAAGAAACAAACTTTCTATAGAAACAAGACAATAAGTACCTTATTTCTTTAATAAAAACAACAAACGCACCGATTTCCGGGCATGTAAGACGGATCAGAATCCCCTGATCCATCGAATTCCATCAATCTTGTATTGATGTTGATCTTGGATGGTAAAAATTGCACGCCAACATCCGCGGGTTGCAACTTCTAAATGTGGCAACAATAGCAGAAAATCGAAAAGAATTGTACCTTATTCTTCTGGTAATGATCGAAAAAGTCGTATACTTTTCTGGCCCAACCCCACGTTTTGATCTTCCCATTTGAATCGAGACCTCTAAAATTCGAACAGAACATTTTATTTAGATTCTATGGACGAAACTAACCGTTGGCAAACTTTGCACGGGAAAGAAATATGATCGCCAGGCCAGTAATAGATGTGTTTTACCTAAAGAAACCTTTATTGTTTATACAAAGTTTATATTAACCGTCATTGGAAGGCCATTCTCGTCACATTCAGCCACTTCGGCGCCATGAAAACCATGATGATCATACCTAAAACGAAAAACTATTAAATTTTGTAATTTAGCAGAAGTAAAGGTATTGCTAATTGTTATAGTACTACTGCATAAGCTTATTTTACGCTAAAAACTTAACTCAAACAAGTAACAAGCTGGAAATCTATTTATTTCTTGAACCCACAAACCTCCATAATCGAAACGACCTGATCTCGTCGGTATACGGGAAAGGGAAAGAATTCTAAAGCAAAGGAAGCTATAAATTAAATCTAAACATTGAATTTCAAGTTATTCTACGTACCAAAAAACGACAATAAGCTAAACCCCAAACGGAAATCCTTTCGGATTGATCAGATCATCTAATACATTAATACATTGTCTCCCTCGCGAATCACTGGTGCAGTAGTTGGCTAAATTAGTACTATAGGCTTGTGGGGAGGGGGGGGAGCACTTTCAAACCCAACGTTTTGAATGATTGTATTTCTCCTTTATTCTGAAAAAATCTAAGCCTGCTAAGCTAGTTCATACTATATTAAAGTATTCCCAGCATGTTTCAATTTCTATTTCTATTTCCATATGTGCGCAACGAGATAATGCTGGGTGGTGGGAGTGCAGCAAGTTGGCAAATCATCTAATAGATGTATCCAAAAGGTGTTGAAACGGTTACCAATCGATTCAGCCCATTTGATTTCCCTATAAGAAAGAAATCAAATAGGCTGAATCGATTGGTAATCGTTTCAACACCTTTTGGATACATCTATTAGATGATTTGCCAACTTGCTGCACTCCCACCACCCAGCATTATCTCGTTGCGCACATATGGAAATCAAATAGAAATAGAAATAGAAAGAATAGAAATAGAAATAGAAAAATTTTTCAGAATAAAGGAGAAATACAATCATTCAAAATATTGGGTTTAAAAGTGTATAATATTGGGTTTAAAACTTTATCAAAAACCGGGTGTTCCAAAAGTTTAGACGGATTTATTGTAACAGAAAAAACTAGTAAAAAAAACCTGACAAAAGTGCTTTAAAGTGCCTTAAAAATCAATAACGTTGCCTCCGCGGCGAATTAACTGAAAGATTCTTTTGGCATACTTTGGATAAGCGATTGAATCAGCGTGGAGGGAATTTGACCCCATTCTCTAGTAATTGTCGCTTTCAAAGAGTCGATCGTTGTGTATTGTTGTCCGTTTTTGTAAACCTTTCGTACAAGATATCCCCAAATGTTCTCGATGGGGTTACAGTCAGGAGAACATGCGATCCACGGCAACACGGGGGCATTTTGTTGTTGAAGGTAGCTGGTGGTCGAAGCGCTTCGATGAATGGAAGCCCCATCATGCATAAAAACATAAGAATTTCCTTGATTTTGTGTTAGAAATGGAATCAGAGATTGGGATAAAACTTGTTGATACTCGATACTATCCATTCTCATTGAGGTGAAGCAAATCTCAAGGGTCCCATCTGCACAAAAAGCTCCCCAGCACATCAGGGATCCTCCGCCAAAATTGCGCTTTGAAAAATACTTTGGTTCTTTTCGTAAATCTCTCCAATAATGCAGATAACCGTCTGGTCCGTCAAGGCACCACTTCTTCTCATCGCTGAAGATGATCTAAAGTTTCATTTTGTTTAGATAATCAGAGTTATAAATCTCACTTTTGTCCAATCTCGATTCATTTCACGCTGAGCGAAGTCTAAACGTGCTGTTTTGTGAATATCCTTTAATTTTGGAGCTGGCATCATCTTCATTCTTTGCAGATTCGGATTTTCTTCCAAACTTCGCAGAATCGTTTGTTTTGAAACTTTGAGCCCACACTCAGCGGCTAACTCCTTCGCTGTCTTTGGCGAATTCGAAGCAGTATTTGACAAATGTCGTCGATTTCTTTCAGATAACTTGGGAGGTCTACCCATTTTCTTATTGGGACGTTTGTTGTTCATCCTTCCAAATGCTTTTCGAACTCCTGGCTCAGAACGATTAAGTTTCTCTGCAATTTTGTTGAAGGTCCAGCCGGCGTTACGGTAAGCCTCAATCTGTGAAATCTCGAGAGCGGAAATCTTTCCCTTCTTGCCCATTTCCTGTAAAATAGATCATTACGCAAAAGTTCAGTATAAAAAGAGAACCAAAAATATTGAAAAAAATTAATTTTTAAAGATAAAATTCCAAACCGTCTAAACTTTTGGAACACCCGGTTTTCGATAAAGTCGATATTTTTTTATTTTCATCAAAGCCAGCAAGCTAAAAGTTTTTCGGTATTTTACATTAATGTAGATAAAAATAACAAAAAATTTAGTTGCATTTTTTACGGAAACGCCCATTTTGCGCTACCGTCTAAACTTTTGGAACGCACTGTATTGGGTTGGTGTATTGAAAAATGCCGGACTTTGAACATTTATTGAACATAAATTGATTGAACATAAAACCATAAATTCATTCGAAATAATTTCCATTATTGTTCACGACTTCTGCCCATTTTACAGGCAATTTGCGGATTCCTCTTTCGTAGTAGGATTTTGGTTTGTGTGTGAGACAAACGGACATCTTGCCAAATCTGAAAGCCACAAAACAATATCGCCTACGTAAAAATCTCAAGCAAAATCCCGATTCTCTCGTCTTCGTCCATCTAGAATTCTTTGAAAATTTCGAAACTTTCAAAAAGTCTTACAACGTTCATCAATTGAGCGAAATTTAAGATAAGGTGAACGTTGAAACGCGGATTCCCTGCAAGAGTGGAGCGGTTGAGAAAAGATTCGAGACTCAAACCTCCTGTAGACTTACTGTAGCTATACTGTAAACCTAATTGTAAATAAAAATGAGTGGGCTATAGTTGATGTGAAACTAGAAGTCTTTATCATTTTAAGTTGATCGATTCTCATTTCCGAATCAAACTCAAATCTCTCACCATTCATTCTCGAGTCAACCGGTGACAACGCAGAAGTATAATTCCTCTCGATAAATAAATGATTGTATAAAATTTGCGATACATTCAAATAATCCAAATAATTATCTAAATATCTTTAGATTTTTCTAACAATCCAAATTACAATTAAATTGAAGTCCTTGATAAAGGTGATTCGGGTCGAACAATCCCGTCGTTAGTTGTAATGAAATCAATGAATATAGAAAATTAAGTAAGCTCATTCTGAAATATTAGAGATTAAGAAAGCAAAGTAAAAACAAAACATCAACTTGAACTCAATTTTATCAATTGCACTGATGCATTAAATGTTTCGCAAAAATTCTTTGCCCTTGGAAAAAGAGAATTTAGAGAACTGAAATTTGAGAAACTGTTGCATACCCGTGAATTCTGGGCTTTAGAAATTGACTTTTCGAAGATGAGTTCGGTTCTGGGAAAGAAAATGGCAAGGTTCTCTAAGTGAAAAATTGCAAAGGGATAAAAGCAATGTTGATTTGAGTGTTCCAGAAATCAAGAGTTACTGTTTTTGAGAACAAAGTCTTTACATGGTGTTAACTGCAAAAGCATTTAAAAACAAAACTCTAGTTTTCTCATCAATGAATGACTGTCGTTCCATTGAACAGTGTGAATTTCAGTTCGAAGAAGAGAAAAAAACGACTTTTGTCATTTATGTCAATAGAATCAAAATCAGGTCATAAAAGCAGTGAATGACTACTTCGCCTCACAAGCTCCCAAGTTCTTTGAGGATGGGACCCGGGATTTGCGCAGAAGATGGGAATAAGTCATAGATACTAATGGAGAATACCTTTCGAATTGAAAGCTCTTCTCACGTGTTTTTTTGAAAAAAATTATTTGTTACATAAACGCGTCATTATTAAGTTGCCAACCTAATATTACAGTATTTACGGTAGTTTTTATCAGGTTTTCATAACTGGCTGGGCAAACGTCTTTTACAAACACCTTTTTATCTGTTTCCGCTATTATCCGCTTCCTTTGGACTACAAAATTCAATGTTTATGTTTAATTTATGTTTGTTTAAAAGTTTATTTTTAGAAGCCTTGAAAGCTAAAGAATTCTTTTCCCTCGATTGATCGGCGTCATTGCGTGAAGAATATACAAATAGCGGAACTAAGCATGGGTAAAAATTTCATTGCCGCCGTGAAAGTATACCAGATTGATCGCGGTGTCATCGTAGCAAAAATACACACCAGCCGCCCTTGCTTCAGCCTCAAAAATCAGAAAAACTTACAACTAAACACATAAACTTACATTATGAATGTGTAACGTATTGCCAATTTGTTCGAACGTTTGTCGTCGAATATGGGGCAAAAATCCGTGCTTTGTGGCCTGAATTCTAAAGCAACAAATTTTTCTAAACGAACAAGACAATAAGTACCTTAATTTTTTAACAAATAAACGCACCGATTTTCGGGCATGTAAGACGGATCAGAATCCCCTGATCCATCGAATTCGTACAATATTGTATTGATCCCGGAATTGGGTGGTAAAAATTGCACGCCAACATCCGCGAGTTGCAACTTCTAAATGTGGCAACAATAGCAGAAAATCGAAACGAATTGTACCTTATTCTTCTGGTAATGATCGAAAAAGTCGTATACTTTTCTGGCCCAACCCCACGTTTTGATCTTCCCATTTGAATCGAGACCTCTAAAATTCGAACAGAACATTTTATTTAGATCCTATGGACGAAACTAACCGTTGACAAACTTTGCACGTGATAGAAATATGATCGCCAGGCCAGTAATAAATGTGTTTTACCGAAAGAAACCTTTATTGTTTATACAAAGTTTATATTAACATCCATTGGAAGGCCATTCTCGCTACCTTCAGCGACTTCGGCGCCTTGCAAACCATGATGCTTATACCTAAAATGCAAAATTATTAAATTTTGTAATTTAGCAGAAGTAAACGCTTCGCTAATTGTTATAGTACTACTGCATAAGCTTATTTTACGCTAAGAACTTAACTCAAACAAGTAATAAAGCTGGAAATCCATTTATTTCTTGAACCCACAAACCTCCATAATCGAAACGATTTGATCGATGTGATGTCGGGCCAATCAGGTTTTTCATCAAACCATATAAGCTAAAAATTAAACATAAACATTGAATTTCAAGTTATTCTACGTACCAAAAAAATGACAAAAAGCTACCCACCCCAATCGGAAATCCTTTCGGATTGATCAGATCATCTAATACATTGTCTCCATCGCGAATCGCTGGCGTAGTAGTTGGCTAAATTAGTACTATAGACTTTTGCTGGGGGGGGGGGGGCACTTTGAAACTCAATGTTTTGAATGATTATATTTTTCCTTTATTCTGAAAAAATCTGAGCCTGCTAAGCTAGTTCATACTATATTAAAGTATTCCCAGCATGTTTCAATTCCAATTTCTTTTTAATTTCCAAAAGTGAGCCACGAGATAATGCTGGGTGAGTGCAACAAGTTGGCAAATCATCGAATAGATGTATCCAAAAAGTGTTGAAACGGTTACCAATCGATTCAGCCCATTTGATTGCCCTAGAAGAAAGAAAATTGCCAGCACAATCATTAGAGACATTTCGAATCGATGGGTCGAAAAGTAGAAACATTTCGAATGACTGTACGGACAATTTTCTTTCTTTTAGAGAAATCAAACCATGAAATGGAAACAAAAAAAAAGAAAAAGAAAAGAAATCAAACCATCCCTCATGAAAACCATGATGGATATACCTGAAACGCAAAATTATAAAATTTTGTAATTCAGCAGAAGTAAAGGCATTGCTAATTGTTATAGTACTACTGCATAAACTTATTTTACGCTAAAAACTTAACTCAAACAAGCAACAAGCTGCAAATCCATTTACCGTATTTACTCGAATAGAAGACCGGTCTTCTATTTTTTTCAATGGCCCCCTAGACCCCGTCTTCTATTCGAGGCCGGTCGTCTATTCAACACGGTCTTTTATTATTCGCATTCACGAAAATTTTCAGGAAAGTAACCAGCGTTTAGAAAAAACTTCTATAGAAATTTATTGTAAACATTTAACAACAAAATTTATAACAAAAATATAGAACAACAAAACAACAACCTTTAATAACAGCATTAACAACAACTAATAAGAACATAAAAAAGCAGTAGTACCAACATTATTCTTCATTCTCACTTGATTCAATGTCATCCTTTATTAAATCCGGATATTGCACAATCCCATCAAGTCCCTCTGCGCTCGAAATTCAATCGTTTTCACTCTCATATCCATTGTCTCTATCCTCGTCGGAGTCGATATCTTGACAAAGTTTTGCTAATCTTCCCTCCAATCTTGCAATATCCAGCTCGAATCGACTACTCTCAACAGCTTCCCCTTTGCGGAAACAAACAATCTGATCATCCTCGCCGTTGGACTCCCTGTTGTCATTTTTTGTCGTCTCAAAAAAAATGCAGAGAAAGACTTTGTGAAATGTAGGTTCGATTCGCGAAAAATCCTTGGCGTAGTCCTGAACCATACGTCGAGAAAGTTTTAGCTTTTCCTCTCATTTTTCTTTGATCCATCGATAAGTGGCCTCCTCGACTGTGCGAAATTTAAGCATTCGCCCTCCTCCATTTAACCGCTTCGCTCCTTTCGATTCCTTTGACAGCGACTCCTCTTTTGCCGTCCAGTCTCGAATCATCTTTGTAGTCACATTAAACTGTCGAGCAGCCGCCTCTTTCGAGTTTTTCTTTGAAAAACGAATGGCCTCGAGTTTAAAGGCGGCACTGTAGGCTTTCCGTTCCGTAGCACCTCCCATCACCTAAGAAAAATGCTACTTTTTCGTTATACCTCCGCCAACTTCACATTTCCGTTATACCCCGCCAGTTTTTAGATAAAAAATGATCAGATAATCAAATAATTAAAATAATCAGAGTCAAAACGGTGGGAGTATAACGGAAATGTGGAGATGGCGGAGGTATAATGGAAAAGTACCAAAAAAATACAAGATGTAGGAAAATACCAAAAAAATAGTGCTATTGAATGAAAATATAATATTTTTACCCTATTGGGTAAATTCCCTTATTCTTTTCCCGTATTTGAGTACGTCCACTTTCGAGCAGAATAGAAAACAGGGTACGTCCAATATATTCGAGTCGAGTCTTATATTCGAGACGGTTTTCTAGTTTTTCGATCATCCCCTAGACCCCATCTTATAATCGAGGCCGGTCTTCTATTCGAGTAAATACGGTATTTCTTCAACCCACAAACCTCCATAATCGAAACGATGTTTCTATTTCTATTTCTATTTCCAAATGTGAGCAACGAGATATTGCTGGGTGGTGGGAGTGCAATAAGTTGGCAAATCATTGAATAGATGTATCCAAAAAGTGTTGAAACGGTTACCAATCGATTCAGCCCATTTGATTTCCCTAGAAGAAAGAAAATTACCAGCACAATCATTAGAGACATTTCGAATGATTGCACTGGCAATTTTCTTTCTTTTAAAGAAATCAAATAGGATGAATCGATGGGTCGAAAAGTAGAAACATTTCGAATGACTGTACGGACAATTTTCTTTCTTTTAGAGAAATCAAATAGGATGAATCAATTGGTAACTGTTTCAACACCTTTTGGATACATCTATTATCTCAGCATTATCTCGTTGCTCACATTTGGACATCAAATAGAAATAGAAACATGCTGGGGATACTCTTAAAATAGTATGAACTAGCTTAGCAGGCTTAGACTTTTTCAGAATAAAGGAGAAATACAATCATTCAAAACATTCTTTAGCATTCAAAACATCGAATTCTTTAGCTTTCAATGCTTCTAAAAATAAACTTTTCTTCGTTGTAGTCAAAAGAAAACGGATAATAGCGGAAACACATAAAAAGGCATTCAGAAGAAATTTGCGGGCCCTTTATGCAGGTCTTCGAATCTTCTAGTCCAAGTCGTGGTTCTTTTCCAATATCGGGGGAGCGGTCCGATTATCGGGGGAGCGGAAGGATTATCGGGGGAGCGAAAGGAAAATCGGGGGGGCAAATTTTGGCAGCGCTACATATGTCCTATTTAAAATTGTGACGAACGGGAGCTTGCTTTGTTGCAAAAAGTTATCGACTCGAATTCCTCTTGAATGCCTGGGGACCTTTCGCCGTGCGCAAGTGTCACATATCCAGCGAAATAGATCTTTTCCCTTTGAGCGGACTTTCATCGATTCGCCACAGTTGCAAATCCACGACTGGATGACTCCTTTGGTGACGAAATAATCGATTGCCGTCGATTTCTTGAACGCACAAATATCGGAGAAGCGCATCGTCGTTAAAGTTAAAAAAAAACGTTGCAGTTAAAATACAGTCCCGGAAATGCATTTTTCGAGGGGGCAAAATTTGCTCCCCCGATTTTCCTTTCGCTCCCCCGATAATCTTTCCGCTCCCGCGATAATCGGACCGCTCCCCCGATATTGAAAAAGTACCCAAGTCTTCGCAGAAGTTTTAAAAGACGTTTGCCCAGCCAGTTATGAAAACCTGATGAAAACTACCGTAAATACTGTAATATTAGGTTGGCAACTTAATAATGACGCGTTTATGTAACAGATATTTTTTTTCAAAAAAACAAAAGAAGAGCTTTCAATTCGAAAGGTATTCTCCATTAGTATCTATGACTTATTCCCATCTACTGCGCAAATCCCGGGTCCCATCCTCAAAGAACTTGGGAGCTTGTGAGGCGAAGTAGTCATTCACTGCTTTTATGACCTGATTTTGACTGTATTGACATAAATGGTCGTTTTTTTTTCTTTGAACTGGAATTCACCACTGTTCAATGTGGAACGACAGTCATTCATCTAAATATCTTTAGATTTTTCTAACAATCCAACTTACAATTAAATTGAAGCCCTTGATAAAGGTCTTGATTATTGCACAAAGATTGCTGAGTTCACTAATTATCCAATTAAAGAAACGCTCAAACAATCGGAGATACGGTAAGCCGAATTCTTAAAACTTTCTTAAACTCATCTTCCCTGCACTCATTTCAATTTTCAGTGACGGATTACTTTAATTTTGAAAAAAATAGCATCGCGGAGTGCAAATGAGCTGATTAAAGAAGCTTTGGAGAAACTAAATTGGGGATGAGGGAATTTCTAGACTTCAGATTTTGCATGGTTCATATAAATGATTAGTGGAAGAGATTGGGGATGACAAGGAAATGCGTACTCGACATTAGTGTACCAAAAGGTGAGCGTTTATGCGTAGCCCTAGAGAACACTCAAGACTGGCATTTGAATGCACCAGAAAGGGTGCATTTGCGAGCACAAAGTACACAAATGGAAAGAAGAAATGAAGCTGTGCTTACAGACTGGTTTATACTAAAGCTGCATAAAGTCTTCCATCAACAGTCTCGCCTTTATCTAATACTACGAAATAAACCAATCCCTTAGTATTCCACCACACACAGAGCATAACCTTCTTCCCGTGTATCGGAGGCCTCGGGATTGAAGGAGGGGTCTGCTTCGAACTCAGCCACTGTCCATGGAGTTGAATATTTTCATACAGAAGCCAAGTCTCCAAGTCTCAGATGTCAAAAAATACTTCCAAAAGTCACGATGGTGAGCTTTGCGTAGAGGAAAAGAGCTCAGGGTGACTCGTATAGCTTTGTGGGCATCAGTGAGGTCGTGGGGGAGCCATTTCCCGCTTCGATATGATTTTCCCAGAACGTGTAAATGGTTTTCAATGTTAACATGAGTGCATCCGAACTTTTCTGCTAATTTTCTACACTTTTGCGATGGATCCAAGTCGACCTCGTTCAGTAACAGCTGATCGTCCAAAGTGATCGGTGGCTTTCCATGTGGTGCATCTTCCAATGACTCGTTTCCCGCTTTGAAGCGAACGTACCAAACGCAGCATTGTTTGTAAGGAAGAGCAGCTTCTCCAAAAACAGTACAAATGTCCTGATGGCATTCCGTAGCTTTCTTGTTTAACTTGAATTCAAAGAATATGGCAGCCCTGATTTTAGATTTTTGGTCATCCATCTTTGTCGAGCTGAAACAATACAAATATTATTCAAAACAAAAAAGTTTTTGCAAAAAAAAACATAAACACATTTTGATATATTATTGAGAAAAATCCTAGACAGCGAATGTTGCTTCGTAACGACAGGGCAATATTTTTTGTAAAAAATAACCTTTCATATTTACCAAGCTAATAACAAAACAATTCCAGTCAACGTCAGTTCTTTTTCCCTCCATAAGCTGCCGATTTTAGGATACGATTTTGATATTTGATGGAATTAAAGGACGTCAAAAGGAAGAACCAATCCGATATTGGAAAGTACCCAAGTCTTCGAATAAGTTTTAAAAGACGTTTGCCCAGCCTGCCTATCAACCCCTCAAACCACTCCCAAGCTTGATTCACGACAAGAAAACAATACTATGTGGTTCGTGAAACTCAACTTTGGTAAACTATAGTTAGCTGATCCAGGAGAGAACGTTGATGCTGATCTCTATTCAAAACAATCTCTAATGATGCTTTAAAAAAGCCAAAGAAGAAGAAGAAACCAGCCAAGACATTGAGGCTCAAACTGATTTGAAAAGCTGATTATTTACCCAATAAATTATTAATAGAGTTACTGTAAAGCAATGAGATATTGTTAAAATTTTAGGAAACTTCAGCCAACAGTAAGTTCAGGGAATCATTCGGCTCAAATTCGCTGCTTAACTTGTAAAAGGCACATAGAGTTGAAATTCCGGGTTCTTTTCACCCTCATATTAGCTGAATCGATAATTTTTCGTTTAAATCAGAATCTGATCATTTAATTGAAGGAGAATTTGGGCAGCTTTTGAGGCCTAGTTATGCAATACAACTAAAACCTGAATTGAAACTTGAACCACGTTCAATGATAACTGAAAAGATTTTTAAATGCAAAGATACAACAAAAACTTCTTCAACTGATTCAACTGAAAACAATATATTGAGATATTGGACAGATGTCTACTTCCATTTGCGACTGCTTCGATGAATCCAGGATGGTTTCTTTATCAAGATAATTCGCCAGTACACAAAAGCAAACTTTTGATGGGCGTTTTGACGTTGTGACTCTTTCGAATGGAGGAAAAGAACATTTACCGGGATGGTTTAGAATTATGCACGTTTCTTTAATCAAGGCTCCACCATTCCCACCGGATTTAAATGTTATTGAGAATTTATGGGTTTATTTGAAATCAAAATTGCGAGGAAAACGATTCAATTGTAAAGTCGAGCTATGGTTTTACATCAGAAAAATTTGGAGGACGATTGGACCTGGAATTCTTGATGAATTAATTGCACCGATGCCTACTCGTATTAAAGAAGTACTTTTGACTTTTGCACATGACTGTAGGTGATTGAGACAATAATGATGACATTTATGAGAATGATGTGTTCACTTTTGACTTGTTCAGCCAATTGATTAGTTATTTTCATTTTTTATCTATTCCCCTTTTTATCTATTACAATCCAGAGCTATTACAAATGTTTTAAAATCAAAAAAGATCAGAAATTGCACTAGGCAGACCAGGATTGAGTCTTAGAAATGTTTAAACCCATTTCAAGGCCTGAATCCTAAGCTAAAATGCGAGCTAAAGCTGTCTTTGGTCTGTTCTTTGTAATCAGGATTAGATCAAAGCAAGCAGGTAGGCTAACTGGCTTCTGAGTTACTTGTAAAAGCGCCTGGGCCAATCAGAAGTCAGACTTGTTTCAGCTTTTTTGTCCTGACTTTGGCTCGACTCCTCTTGATTACCTAATCCAGTATGCTCATTTTTGACTGAATCTCTTCAGAAACGAAAACTTTGACCGATAACCAGGACATTTTCACTTTAATAGCTTTTGTTTAAGCTGTTATCCTTTGAATGTCTTGGTGATAAAGAAATAACGGTAATAAAGGTTCTAATGATTCTAAACTTTTAAAATTCATCGAAACACCCCCACCCTCTCGGCGTTGATGTGTTCTTCCCGAATCGCATCTACTCCACGGTTCCCATCGAAAAGCCAACGCCACGTCCGTGTAGAATGGTCTCTAAAACGTAAATATTAATTCTAAAAATGTGAAATTTAAGGCATTTAGTTAGCTATTTTCATGGAAATTTGAAAAAAACTCGCATCATTGATCGATCGTTTAAAAACATGCAAATGTATCGCAGTCTCCCGCACTTTTCGTATCGCTAGACCACTGGTGTTGGGGTGAAGTTTCTAAAGTTACCTTGAATGCACTGAAAAGAAATGGATTACCAGATATTGTTCGCATTTAAGATCACCCTTATCACAGATAGGCTCATTTTCGGGTTTATAGATGATGGGACGCCAGTTGAATTTCCATTGAGTATCCGGGTACATCTAAATGTTAATTAGTAATATTCAGTGTCGCTGAATGGAAAAACCAGCACTTATTTCCATAAAATTTACTTTAATATCCTTAATCACTCACATAAATCGGTTTCCCGCAGTCATTGCCACATTGATATGGAAGCGGGAACAAATCCTTTTTGTCCGGCGATTCACAGACCATTTTGCCTAAAATGTGCAAGTTTAGAAAGAATTGTTAAAACTGACCCATATCCGGACTCAGCTGAAGACGATTCTTCAAATTAGCATCATCCATCCAATTTACTCGATTGATCGGCGTCATCGCGTGGAGAATATAGAAATAGCGGACCTAAACATGGGTAAAAATCTCATTGCCGCTGTGAAAGTATACCAAATTGAGCCCGGTGTCATCGTAGCAAAAATATACACCAGCCGCCCTTGCTTCAGTCTAAAAAAATCAGATAAACTTACATCTAAACCATCCATAAACTTACATTATGAATGTGTAACGTATTGCCAATCGGTTCCAACTTTTGTCGTCGGATATGGGGGAAAGATCCGTGCTTTGTGGCCTGAATTCTAAAGAAACAAACTTTCTATAGAAACAAGACCATAAGTACCTTATTTCTCCAATAAAAACAACAAACGACCGATTTCCGGGCATGTAAGACGGATCAGAATTCCCTGATCCATCGAATTCTTCCGATCTTGTATTGATCTCGGACTTTAGTGGTAAAAATTGCACGCCAACATCCGCGTGTTGCAACTTCTAAAGTTGCAACAATAGCAGAAAATCGAAACGAATTGTACCTTATTCTTCTGGTAATGATCGAAAAAGTCGTATACTTTTGCGGCCCAACCCCACGTTTTGTTCTTCCCATTTGAATCGAGACCTCTAAAACTACAACAGAACATTATATTTAGATCCTATGGACGAAACTAACCGTTGACAAACTTTGCACGTGATAGAAATATGATCGCCAGGCCAGTAATAGATGTGTTCTACCTAAAGAAACCTTTATTGTTTATACAAAGTTATATTAACCTTCATTTGAAGGCCATTCTCTCTACATTCAGCCACTTCAGCGCCTTTGAAACCATCAGGAATATACCTAAAATGAAAATTATTAAATTTTGTAATTTAGCAGAAGTAAAGGCATTGCTAGTTGTTATAGTACTACTGCATAAGCTTCTTTTAAGCTAAAAACTTAACTCAAACAAGTAACAAGCTGGAAATCTATCTATTTCTTGAACCCACAAACCTCCATGGGGGGGGGGGGGGGGGGGGTGAGGTGCAACAAGTTGGCAAATCATCGAATAGATTTATTCTGAAAAAATCCAGGCCTGCTAAGCTAGTTCATACTATATTAAAGTATTCCCAGCATGTTTCAATTTCTATTTCTATTTCTATTTCCAAATGTGAGCAACCAGATAATGCTGGGTGGTGGGAGTGCAACAAGTTGGCAAATCATCGAATAGATGTATCCAAAAGTGTTGAAACGGTTACCGATCGATTCAGCCCATTTTCGCAACAAATTCGCAAGCCAGCTTGCAGAGAAAGACTTTGTGAAATCTAGGTTCGATTCGCGAAAAACCTCCTTGGATTTGTCCTGAACCATACGTCGAGAAAGTTTTAGCTTTTCCTCTCGTTTTTCTTTGATCCATCGATAAGTGGCCTCCTCGACTGCGCGAAATTTAAGCATTCGCCCTCCTCCATTTAACCGCTTCGCTTCTTTCGATTCCTTTTTCCAGCGACTCCTCTTTTGCCGTCCAGTCTCGAATCATCTTTGGAGCCACATTAAACTGTCGAGCAGCCGCCTCTTTCGAGTTTTTCTTTGAAAAACGAATGGCCTCGAGTTTAAAGGCGGCACTGTAGGCTTTCCGTTTCGTAGCACCTCCCATCACCTAAAAAAAAATGCTACTTTTTCGTTATACCTCCGCCCACTTCACATCTCCGTTATACCCCGCCAGTTTTTAGATAAAAAATGATCAGATAATCAAATAATTAAAATAATCAGAGTCAAAACGGTGGGAGTATAACGGAAATGTGGAGATGGCGGAGGTATAATGGAAAATTACCAAAAAAATAGTGCTATTGAATGAAAATATAATATTTTTACCCTATTGGGTAAATGCTCTTATTCTTTTCCCGTATTTGAGTACGTCCACTTTCGACCAGAATATAAAACAGGGTACCTCGAATATAAGACCGGTATTTCTTGAACCCACAAACCTCCATAATCGAAACGATGTGCTCAGGTCAGGCCACGGATTTCCATCAGGCCACACAACCTAAAAATTAAATACAAACATTGAATTTCGCCAAAAAAACGACAATAAGCTACCCACCCCGAACGGAAATCCTTTCGGATTGATCAGATCATCTAATACATTGTCTCCCTCGCGAATCGCTGGTGTAGTAGTTGGCTAAATTAGTACTACAGGCTTGTGGGGGGGGGCACTTTCAAACCCAAGCCTTTTTCCTTTATTCTGAAAAAATCTAAGCCTGCTAAGCTAGTTCATACTATATTAAGAGTATTCCCAGCATATTTCTATTTCTATTTCTATTTCCAAATGTGAGCAACGAGATAATGCTGGGTGGTACGAGTGCAACAAGTTGGCAAATCATCGAATAGATGTATCCGAAAAGTGTTGAAACGATTACCAATTGATTCAGCCCATTTGATTTCCCTAGGAGAAAGAAAATTGCCAGCAGAATCATTAGAGACATTTCGAATGATTGCACTGGCAATTTTCTTTCTTTTAAAGAAATCAAATAGGATGAATCGATGGGTCGAAAAGTAGAAACATTTCGAATGACTGTACGGACAATTTTCTTTCTTTTAGAGAAATCAAATAGGATGAATCAATTGGTAACTGTTTCAACACCTTTTGGATACATCTATTATCTCAGCATTATCTCGTTGCTCACATTTGGACATCAAATAGAAATAGAAACATGCTGGGGATACTCTTAAAATAGTATGAACTAGCTTAGCAGGCTTAGACTTTTTCAGAATAAAGGAGAAATACAATCATTCAAAACATTCTTTAGCATTCAAAACATCGAATTCTTTAGCTTTCAATGCTTCTAAAAATAAACTTTTCTTCGTTGTAGTCAAAAGAAAACGGATAATAGCGGAAACACATAAAAAGGCATTCAGAAGAAATTTGCGGGCCCTTTATGCAGGTCTTCGAATCTTCTAGTCCAAGTCGTGGTTCTTTTCCAATATCGGGGGAGCGGTCCGGTCGAAATTGAAACATACTCTTAAAATAGTCTAGGCTATTTTTGAGCATAGCAGAAAGTCGATTAACCCAAGTACAGCTCATTTTAGTAAAAAGTTCCTTTAGCAATCAAAAATTAAAGTTCATATGCTCTATGAATTCCAGGTATCTAGGCAAAAAAAGCTAAGCAAAAATCAATTCCAGCACAAGGACAATCGAGATTTTCACCTGTTATGGCCTTCGAATGGCCGACTTCTTCTTTACCATTTTAAACTGAATCTTTCAATATCTCAATATTTATCAATGTCGACTTTTCATGAAAGACCAACTTTATACATTCTTTTTATGAACATTACTTTTGTCATCGGCACAGTTTTCAATCTTTTAACTCTGGTAGCGATTTTGACATTATCACCGGCAAATATGAAAGGCTACAAGTATCATATTGTTTGGTATCAGGTTGGTTTTAAGGAAAGATGAATAAGTAACGGTTACCGAACTACGCTAGCAGATTTCACAAGCTTCATAGACAACTTTGAGACTAAAGCTACCGTACCAGCTTATCAATTAGGATTTTTAATCAGTATTTCTCCAAGTTCACTTTAGATCTGGTGAATCTCTTTCGAATTCACCCTCCACGGTGCTTTACTTCCCAGCTCCAATGGGAACTGTGTATGGGTTTTTGTATCAAGTGTTTGGCATCAGTCCAAAACTGATTCAGGTTGATTAGACTGTGATTACATGGATCTAAAACCATTATTGTATTCCTCTGAGCTACTGTTTTGGGTTCCTTTTCAAAGCGCTTTTTATAAAACATGTCAACTTTCAGTTACTCTAATCTTGTCCGGAAAAAAATGTAATTGCTGCTAGTTTACCGTAACCATTCTCTACTTAGCTTTTCTAGCCATTTGCCTCATTCTCCGTTGTCTGGATGGTGCTTGCTACAGCTCAATGTGTCGTTTATCGACATCGACAAATTCTACCATTCAATCCAATTCTTTTGCTCCAAAAGCAGCAGTGAAGCTGCTGGTTTTTAGATAAATATATTAGTGCCATATTAGTATCAACAATACTTGTAAAACCAAAGCTGTCAACAGTTTTTTCTCGTTCAGCCGACGACAGCCAGCAGATGAAAGACGTGGATTGTGCAAGAGATCTTTTGTAATCTGTCAGAAAGCAATAAACGCTTTAGCTATTGACAGAATTGTATAATGAATAGAGTTAAGGGAAATCCAGGTTTCTTTTCGGAATCTGAAAACTGATTGCCAAAAATGATTAGCTTTTCAATTACCTAAAGATTATGATTGAATGGTAGAATTTGTCGATAAAAGACATAATATTTTCTTTATACTGTAAATACTCTATTAGAGCAGCACCCTCCATTAGAACAGCACGCTCTAATAGAGCGGCATCTCCAAATGCTAATTTTGACAGCGCCCAGATTCAACTTTTCAACTTATCTTTTTGAAAGCGATTTTCATTTCAACTAAATGATAGAAAAAGTTACCGTAAACTCAATCCATGAACAATCAAGCTACCGTAGTCCCGGTGTTTTGTATCTTGAACTTATCCAATAGATAAGTCCATGCCCAGGTTCAGTTTTGAAGCTAGATCCACGTCTGGCCTGGTCCAATGCTTGACCTGGGTATGAGATCTTAGAATCTGTAAATCATATCATATGGGTCAATGGATATATCTGATATCAAAATGATCGGATTCGTCTCTTTGATCTGAAATAATCAGATTGAATGGATAATTTGAGAAGACTTCTTTCAAGTTATCCATATGACTTTCAAAATCCCATGAAACCGGCTTACTTTTGATTGTTGATCAACGAGCATCTTGCAAAAGTCTATAGATAAAAGTAAAAGGAGTCTATAGATATTCCTTTTTATCATTCCTACCAAAATCTTGCAAAAATTTCAATTTTCTTTCAAGTTATCTTTGTGCCTTTCCAAACATCATCAAATGATCTTACTTTTGACGAAAAGTGTTTTCAGTTGATCGAAGAGGAAAGCTTTTAGTGGGAATGAAATAGGAAATGTTGATGTACATTGGTAAAATTTTTACTTGACTTGCATAAAAGCTTTTGTACCATTGATCCCATTGCATAAAGAGCACAAAGTCTTGTACCAGAAGTGAGTGCCTTTGGTCCCTTTAATCGAATCCCTCTGATCTTTTGATCAAATCCCTTTGATTCCCTTTAATCAAATTCTAATTGGATCTGAGTCAAAAAATGATTTCTGCTCTTGGAAATCGTTTATTTCGGCCGATTTATACCTGTACTCAAATTTTCTAAATTTCTGTACAAAAAGAATTAGATCTCTTTGGTTTTGAGGTTTCTAAAAGTTGGATAACTTTTTCTGAGAGTATCAACTATCAAATCAACTTTTGCTGAGAGTACAGTATCAAATGCTTGCTAACTTTTAAGTGCCCCTATGTACAGTGTGGTTTTTAAAATGTAGCACCTTCAAAAGCTACCGTAAGCTATTGTAAGCCGGCTATCGTAATTGGCTACCGTACTAGAAGATTCCCGATTTGAGGATTTGGAGTAGTCAAAAGGTAGTTTAAGGGGGGGGGGGGGGGACGGCGAACTGGCTATGAGAGAACTACAGATTCGAGCCGCGCAAACAGCTCGCGAGGTGGCCTCAGCAGCGGCACACGTTGAGTACTGGAAAGCTTTGGATGAGATCAAAGCGGGGATTTGCGAGGGACTCACCCATGCAGATATAGAACCACGGTCAGTGAATATCATAGCGCCTAGCCAACTACTCCATTCAGATATCCAAGACAGTCTGAAGATCGAGCCCGTGACAAGTACCACTA